CAGTATAAGTCTTATTTATTTTTTTTAATAATTTCATAAAATGTAATATAAGTTGCAATTCCCTATTTTTAATGCCACACTGTCAGAATATCAATTTATGTATAGTTTTATTAAGCAGAAAAATAAAAGTAAAAATTCATGAAGTATAAGTTACTGTAGTATAGATGATATAATTAATTTTAAAGCTACTATTTCAGAAAAACATACAAAATTTTTAAAATTTGATTTGCAATATTGACACTAAAAATATATGATATTGATGAAATAGTATCATTAAAATATTTTTTTATAAATTTACCTCATTGTCCAATTTTTCGATGTTTTCCTCCTCATTAATATCATCCATTTTCTTTTCTAAATTATCTTCATCATCATTGTCATTTTCATTATTATCAGAACTATTGTCAGTTTTACTTGGATCATGGAGTTTACCTTCAAAATCCTCTGACATTTCTATACCATGTTCCTCCTCCTAACAACAAGTTTTAAAAACTGATTTAAATGCTTATCATTTAAAGATAAATTGTAATAAGCCTACTTATATAATTTTGTTTTGCAAATACTCTTGAAATGAAATAAATTTAAATACTTTTTGTTAAGCTAAAAATATTCAGTTTTAATAAATTAAGAACTTACATTATTAAAGTCTGATTAAAAGAATTTGAAGTAATTCATTAATGTTAAACCTTAACTTCAATGATATATTATGGGAGTAGCCAAACTATGGCTTGTGAGCCACTTGACTAGCTCTTCTGGACTCTTATTGTGGCTTCCACATACAGATATATAATATTTTTGTAAGTTTTCTTACTATTAAATAATGTAATATACACAGAAATTGTAAATGAAACTTGCAACTTAATCTTGAACTAATCAGGAACTGAAACCTTAGTTCATATCATAAAGTTGAAGAAGTAAAATGATTAGCTAATCATCATCAAAATAAAATAAACAAAGTAAAATAACAGTGATAATTATATTATATATACAGTAGACTTCCCCTATAACATAGTAGATACGTTCCGTGTTTTATAAAATTGATGTTCTACGAGTCCTTAAATACATGAGCCAATCACAGCCCGGCACGCATGCAGTTTATGGACTATGGCTGTTTGAAAGGTTTTCTTCCATTAAATTAATCGATTTTAGACTAATTTGACTCAACATTTTCAAAACACGTATAATTTTTTGGGAATAATCCATATAAACTATGCTATAAACAAAAAATTGTAGGATTACTTACCGAGTGTGCACCGTTCGACAACGCCATTGCTTAAGCCTGTTTTTGTCGTGGAACAGTGCATCAAATGGCAGGCGCGTGTTTCCTGATAAATTATTTTTCTGTGAAAAATTTGCTGAACTTTGGAGACATCATTAATATAAATATAATTTTTATGGCTGTTAAATAATAAATGGTTTTTAGTAGTCCGCTGCTCATTTAAACTCAACGGTTTGTGCAATATCTGATATTGGTCTAGATCCGACCAATCTTATCGTGACACGAGTCAGAGATGACATTTTACTGTATCATAAAAGTCTCTTCTAGCGTATTTATACAAATACGATTGCAATTTTTTCGCCGCTATATACAAATCCGTATTATAGGGGGTCTACTGTAGTTAAAATAATATAAATAAAGAATGAATATACAAATTACACACCAACTAATGCTGAATACAATCAAGCAAGAAATGGCTATAATATTAATAAATTTAGAACTGCTGAAAGAAAAGAATCAGCCTGGAGCAGGACTCAAACCTGCAACTCCTGCTTACCATGCAGATGTGTTGCCAATTACAATACCTGGACCTTTGGTCTGATCTCCTCTTCCAGTATATAAAATAACGTTATAATCATCAACAGTTATTATGGTGCCAGCTGTGGGCGTACCCATACCCTCATCCTGTAAACAAATCCTAAGTAATAACTGTTAATGGTTATAATGTAATTTTATATACTGGAAGAGGAGATTGGACTAAAGGTCGGGTAGTGTAATTGGCAACGCATCTGCATAGTAAGCAGGAGTTGTGGGTTTGAGTCCTACTTCAGGCTGATTCTTTTCTTCCAGTAGTTATAAATTTATCAAGAGATGGTCCCTAACACCTAACTCTAGTGCCAAATTGTCTCATAATTTATTATTATTATAGCCGTTTCTAGTCCGATATTATTTGGCATTGGTTGGTGTGTGTGTGTGTGTAGCTTTATAATATATTGGGTTTAGTGATGATGTTTGTTAGAATATACAAACATNAATGCTTTGTCCAGGCTCATCGGTTCTTTTACGTTTAGACTGCACGGGAGAAGAACGCACGCTTTCATCGCTGCTGGTATCATAGTCTGAAACTAAATGTTTAACCAGAATGTACTGCTGAGCTCTTTCTTTTTGCAGTTGGTTCGTGAAGAAATTTGTCTTAAACCTTGGATCTAACAAAGTTGATATCAGGTAGTTTTTATTATCGTCAATCTGTGAAAAACGTAGTTTTATCCCTTGTTGCATAGCGATCGCCATAAACTTTAATTTAGGTGCTAGGTCAGAAGACACGGCCTTGTTGCAGTAGCGGTTAAGAGTAACAACATGGGGAATAATTTCAGATAAGCATGAATAGTTTGAACTAGAAATTTTTGTTATCTTTTCAAATGGCTTTTATAATTTTAGTAATTGGTTTACAATCTCCTACTGCTCTGCAGTCAGATTAGATATGTTTACTGTATCAGTTAGATAGAGGGAAATAGCTCGTTTTTGTTCAAGAAGCCTTTCTAACATATAAAAGGTAGAATTCCACCGTGTTGTTATATCTTGCACTAAATTATGCTTGGCTATTCCCAGCTCTTCCTGAATTTTTTTCAGTTTTTCTTGTGCAGTACTCGAATGATTAAAGTGGGTTACTATTTTTCGTCCCACAGCAATAGTTTTTCCGATCTCAGGTTAAATTTTGAGAGTGTCTTTGATTACTAACTGTAGTGTATGTATGAAGCAACATGCAGAATTCATTTTAGCCTCACTGACAGCCTTAACAATATTGCGCCCATTGTCATGAACAATGACGTGAATTTTTGATAAAGGGCATTCCCACCGGCTCAGTATTTCTTGCAGAGCATTTGCTATATTTTGCGCAGTATGTTGCCCTTCAAAGTGTTTTACATTAAGTGCAGCATGTGTCAAGTTAAAATCTCTGTCAAGCCAGTGTGCAGTGAAACTGAGGAAACTGACAGAGTTTTGCAAGCACGTCCACAAGTCGGTAGTGATTGATATATAATCTGTGTCTTCAAGCTTTTTTTTAATCTTTGTTACTACTTTTCCATAAAGTTCAGGAATTATTTTCTCTGAAAAGTACGGTCTACTCGGTATGGCATATCTCGGCAGGATCTCATTTAACAATCTTTT